CCTCGTGATCCGCCCACCTCAGCCTCCTAAAGTGCTGGGATTACAGGCGTGAGCCACCACACCTGGCCATGACACTAATTCTTTGAAATGTACTGGCATTTGCTTTCTGGCCTGTTCTGACAGGCTCCATGTGTGCCTGAAACTAATGTGATTTCCCAGCTGGGTGAGCCCCATTCCACAGACGTCCCTCCACTCAAGCCCAGGAACCAGCACCCTCAAACCTCAGGTATCCTTATTGTTTCCTTTTGAGTCTACTTGACCGATTAACCACTAAGAGGATTACCGAGCCCTCTGCCTAGGATGGTGGGTTTGTGAATTTCTCCTTGCAGTTGGCTGGGTTTTGCTGCAGCTTGTGGCTTTTGGAAACAGCTAACTTCATGGTGTTGCCCCATTCACGGGAGATCCCGTCCGTCCTTGTGTGTCAAGCTTCCCACTGTGTGTGAACTCACTGCTACGCCCTCCATCTGAGCCCACGGCCTCAGGCACCTGGCTCACTGGACCTTCTGGGCCTTCACACCGGCTGTCCTGAGTGGAACTCACTTACTTCCCTAGATCCCATGCCCTCACCTCCTGAGTCTAGAGCAGCACCCAAGAATTGGCCAGTCCACCTCTGTCAGAGAAGAAAGTGCATGCCTGCCCAAGACCTGGGGTTTTCTGGTACAGAGGGGTCCGTGTCTGCGTCTGCCAGGCCAGGCATCAGGAGGCCACGGGGCCAGCATGGGGCTCAGGGTCCTCAAGGGAGACCTCCCTCCCTCCACCCAAAGGCCAGCCAAGGGGAGAGCTGAAATTCCTGCTCTTGCTGGGGGCGGGGGGTCCCATCTGCAGGGCTGGAACAGCAAGAGTGCCCCTCCAGTGTCACCCATGCCCCCAGCATCTGCCCCTCCTCCCTCCAGGGCACTGGCTGAGATGCACATGCAGCGGCGAGCGCGAGAACGAGAAGCTCCTGCTGCACCAGAGGACGGGCAGGCCCCTCTCCTGGTGAGGGCCACCGCCTCAGCGGCCACAGCTGTCTGGGCCTGGGGAGTACCTGGGCAGACAAGCTCTCGGCAGAGGGAGGTCCCAGGCTCTCAGCTGGGCTGGGCTGCCTTTCTTCCAGCATCCATGCTCGGGGGCAGATGGCCAGAGAATAGGCCCAGGACAAGGAACAAAAGGTTGGACAAGCACGGGGCCTGTGACCGCAGGGGGCTGGCTGGCTCTGAGGTCCTGGCACAGAGGCTGCCACCCCAGGTTGCCAGGGAGGCTCCCAGCCAGGCCATCCCCACCTCCCCAGGTCTTCAGAGGCTCTGGGCAGGGCTGGAGGGAACAGTGGGGTGAGGACGGTCCTCGAGGGGCAGAGGGAGCCTGGGGGAGGATGGAGGCGTATTCAGGAGAAGACACAGGTGTGGATGCCCAGGGAAGGATGGGGAAGCCATGCCTCTCTCATCCCAGTATCCCTGTCCCACCTCACCTCAGCCCCTTCCCCTCAGGAGCCCTCCACAGGGACAGGAGCCCTCCACGGGGACAGAAGTCCTGCAGTGGGGAAGGCCCCAGGAAAGGGGGAGGGCTGGGGGCCTCAAGGCAGCCCGGCGGGGGTGGGCCGCTGCAGCAGTGCTGGGGGCTAGGGGCAGGGAGGGGCCTGTCTGGAGGATCCCAGCCTTGGAACTGAGGAGTGGCCTCACAGGCCTCTGGCATAGGAAGGGAGCTGTCCCAGGGTACCAGGCACAACCCCGGCCCTCCCACCACGTCTGCCCAGCCCAGTGGATCCTGCAGGGGCTGACCACTGAGGTGGGTACCCAAAGCAGGTCCCAGGGACCCAGGGGCTGCGCTGTGCTGCAAGACCCCCATGCCCTCCATCCACCTGTCTGCGGCTCTGGGGTCCCCCCGCAGAGGGCCCTGGGACCCCCTGCCTGTGGCCAGTCGGGGAAGGACCAAGTCCAGGCGCACCGTGGGTGACACAGCTGAGCAGCCCCCACCCCACCAGCACTTCCTGCAGCTTCAGCAGCAGCCTCTCTCCATCCCCAAGGGGCCAAGCATCCACCTGAGGCAGGAGGCCAACCCCCCAGGCTGCCCCCGGCCTCAGGCAGGTGACCCCACGGGGCCAACCAAGGGTCTCAAATGCCCCTGGTGAGGGTCCTGGCCCCCCATCCCAGGAGACACACAGACATGCCCAGGGGAAAATACAGCCCTGGGGACAAGCCACTCCCACACACACGCCACCCTGTGCCAGGCAGACAGGGGACCCATGGGTGCCCTGAACCTTCCGTCTCAGTCTCCCCACCTGCAGAGGACACAGCAGGTCAGCACTACAGAAGAACCGGCTGCCCTGCCCCGCTGAGGGCCCCACCCACCAGACACCCTACGTCAAGGGCACCGAGGGGAATGGCCATGGGGCCTCAACCCCAGTAACCCACAGGAGGCGCCTCCAGCCCCACTAACCAGCCAGCGGGGAGGGTTCTGCCCAGGAGAGCCAGAGGTTTGGGGAAGGAGGAGATGAGGTAAGGCAGGAGGTGAGAGAGGTGGGGAAGCCCTGGGGGAAGGTGGCAAATCCAAGGGTTGCAGGCAGGACCAGAGGCTCCATCAAGGGAAGGGGAGCGTCGGAGGGGTGGGAGGGGGGCTGGTGACTCCACACGTAAACCCCAGCTCACCCCACATCCCCTCGCTCCCATACACCCAGGCCAGGCTCAGAGCTGCTGAGGGGTCCCAGGGCCCTGGGCTGGGGTAGGAGCAGAGTCACTGGTCTCCCTCCTCCTGCCTGTCCTTGAAGGGGACTCAGGTAGGGGGACGTGGCTGGGACCTGTTCCAGACTCCAGGTGACACACTGGACAGATCTCGCAAACTTGGGTCACCATCCAGCGGGAGGGGACACTGGGTGGACTCAGCCGTGCCCTGGAGAGTGCCTGCAGGGAGGAGGCGAGGCCCCACCTGTCCCCAGGGCATCCAGGCCTGGGTGGGGACCTCGGGGTCCTCTGCAGCCACGGCCACAAGCCCTGCCTCATCTCTGACACCCTCCTCGGCCTGTAGCCGAGGGCCCAGCGGGACCCTGGCAGGCCTGACACCACCACCATGCCAGCCCCACAGCCCCGTCTCCCATTGCTGTCCAGGCTGCCGTGTCCTGCAGGCCAGTGGCTGGTGCCCTGGAGGCCACTCCGGCCCCACAGCCAGCCTCTGACCTGAGGGACCCTGCCCTGTACTAAGTCATCTCAGAGCACCACCCAGCCCACCCCAAATCCCAACACCTGGATGGTGACCCGACTACGCAGGTGACTGTGGCTTTTGCTAAACTACCCGGAGCTGATCTCCACAAATTTAACCCAAAACACAACTTTCCTGTGCAGTCTGGCAACTGTGTCAAAGCCCAACGCCAGAGGCCTCCCTTCCCTCCACATGAGGCCAGCGGTGGCTCTGGGCAGCAGGTGACACTCTCTTGAGCCCCTGTTCCATCAGTGCCAGCACAGGAGCCACCCAGGGCCTGCCAAGGACAGGGGGGCTCCTGACCCCGGGCCAGCACAGCAGGACAGTAGGCACTGCCTCAACGGAGGAGGGCAGGGCTTGGCCAGGGACGGGGCTCCCACTTGCTAAGGCCCCAAACTCCCCAGCCCCATGCCCCGTCTTGCAGGGCAAAGGCAGGAGGGTCACCTGAGAGCAGGAACCCCACTTTCACCCAAGCAGCTCGGCCTCGGGAAAGTTGATTCAAAAAAACCACATCACTCACATCACTCGCCACCTTCGCCCACCTTTGATCTGTGGCCCATGTCAGTTAAGAAAGTGGCATTGATTAACTTCAATGATCTTTCATGAATTTTACTGCGGAAAAAAAAAATCAAGAAAATTTCAAAAAATTATTAATGATTTCTTTTGCTATCACAAACTCGAAACCTCTACAATTTCATTAAAAGTGCAGGAATGAAAAACAGGAAATCCCTTGCCCTGTCTGGTTCTGAGCCAGAGACCAGAGGCCCGAGGTGCAGCCAGGCCCACTTCAGGTGGTGGAAACGAAAATTAATCAGAAGTCATACACTCAAATAAAACGCCTCGTATTAAACTCACAGAGTGGGTGCTGACGGGAGCTGCCAGCAGGACGGCCTTCCCAGAGGCCTGGCACCGCTCCCCACCTGAAGGCACAAGGGCCCTCCCAGGCCACGGGAAGCATCACCGCCACCGGTGGAAAACCAGGCAACCACAAGCTGGTGGTTCACTGGCACGTGGGTGACAAGGTTCATGGCCACAGATGCCCATGCACAAGCCCCAAGCACCATGACCCCTCGGGAAGGAGGGGACACACAGGGCCAGTGGGGCCCTGACCACCAGCGCCTGGGGTTTCCTAGCAACTAAAGCACTCAAGGCGCCCTGCACGGCAGACTTTTCATGAGGAACACAGACCCGTGTTAATCTGTTTGCAGATTCATGTTTAATAAAATGCCCTTCTGAAATGCATCCAAAATAGAGAAGCTTTCTCCCGAACTGCAAAAGCCATAAAAATGCAAAATACTTCTTTAGGAAAAACTGAATCAAAATTATGCCTCAATGTTCCAAGTCACATGAAACCTACTCTGTGGCCCAGGGCAGGTGCAGGCGGCAGCAGTGGCCCAAACCAGCCCCCGCCAGCCTCAGTTGTTCTCGATCTGCTCCAGGTCCAGCTCCCCGCGGGCCCGGAGGAAGACACCCTCCTCCCCGGCGCCATCCCCATCACTGGGGTCCCCGTTGCTCCTGCTCGAGCCATCACCGGTCACCGACTCCCTTGAGGCCCACAGGTTGGGGTGGGCAGGGCTGGTCCTGAGGCCCCTCTGGCTGCAGCCAGGCATGGTGATGCCAGGGAGGCCCCGGGATTCACACGGGGAGGACACAACCATCTTCACTGGGGCGTCATCCTCATCGTCATCTTCGTAATTGAGGGAGCAAAGGCTTTTTGAATTTTTTAAAGTCTGCAATAGAAAAGATATGGGCTTAAAGCATTTCTAGCAGATCACTTGGGAGGCAGCGTCCCACCAACCCATCAAGGGCTCGGTGTGCTGGAGCTCTGGCCATCCCCAAGACCACACAAAGCAGGGGCTTGTCCCCTGTACATCAGTCACAGCTCGCAGAGCCCCTTCCTCAGACCCTGCCCACACGTGCCCTGGCCCCTTAGCTCTCCTCGGCCCCTGCCCAGCTGGTGTGGGCAGAGACGCACAGCCTGGCCCTGCCCAGACCAAATGGACCAGGCTGGTGGGCACCTGACACCTAAGCAAGCCTCAAGACGCCCAGGGGCTCACAGAGGACAGCCTTGTCCCAGTCTTGTCCTCGGCAGGTGGCCTGGCCAGGGAGGGTGCCTCGTGCCTCCACTTCTGACAACAGCCCCACCCAGGGCCGCTCTCAGCAAGCACCTCACAGCCACCTCTGAGGCCCTGCAGTGGCTCCGTCTCTCCTCCACCTGCCCCCATAAGGCCCCTGGAACCCCACCTCGTCGATGTCCTCACGGGCCCGCCAGATGCAGCTCCCACCTTCTCTGTCCTTGCACCTCCTCTCCTAATAGTTACTCTAATAGAAACGCATGCAAATCCTTCTCATCTCAAAACACATGCAACAGACAGGTGCACACACAGGGGTCTCCCCTGGGCAAGGCCCACCCTCGTCCCAGGCGGGCAGCTTCCAGTACCTCCATGCCACGCCCAGGCCTGTCCACAGTAGGTCCCTAAGTGCCAGGCTCCGGCCCTCCCTCTGCTCTCCGGAGGTGCCGCCACCAGCCCCTTCTCACTCTGACCCCCAGTCAAATCTCACTCAGTAGCCCCCCTTCCCAAGGCCTGTTAGGGATAAGGGGTTCCCCCAGGCTTCACCCCCGAACCGGAGCGCTGAGTGGCAGGCAGTCTCCATCCACCCTGGCGTGCTCTCTTGGGCGTCTCCAGGGCCCTGAGACCCAGCAGGTGTGTCCAGCTGGGGCATGAGTCCACGGCCATGGCCAGGGCAGCAGCCCCTCAGCATGCCTGGGCCCCCACCCCCTGCCATCTCCCAGTCCTTGCCTCAAGTCCCCTGTCTGTGGTGCCCAGCACCGTCCACGCCACTCGTCCACTGCCACTGGGAGCAGCCTTCCTACCCAGCCCCACCTCCCTGGTCACCTCCAGGCCTCCTCAGGGTCAAGGTTCCCCTCCTGGACCACACCCACGCTGGCCTCAGACACCTCACCTCATGGCTCTGGCTTGTGAGGACGCGTGGGTGAGGGCACGTGGGTGCCATCAACCACAACTGCAGGGCACAGGGGCACTGTGATGCTGATAATGAGACCGCAATGACACAGCAACCTTGGCCACCTAAAGTTATGACCTAGAGCACAAGCTCACCAATTCCACAGAACCCAAGAAACTCCCCAAACCACCTTCATCCAGAGCAAGGAAACGCCCCACAGACAGGAACCTCAAATACTTCCTGGAAACACTTCCAGCGACTGATTTTTATAAAACCACATGGCCCTCGGGGACAGAGCTCCTTTTTTCTAAGGATATTATTGGGCTCTAAAACACAAATGGACGCTGGGCGCGGTGGTTCACGCCTGTAATCCCAGCACTTTGGGAGGCCGATGCAGGTGGATCAGGAGGTCAGGGGATTGAGACCATCCTGGCAAACACGGTGAAACCCCGTCTCTCCTAAAAATACAAAAAATTAGCCGGGCGAGGTGGCGGCGCCTGTAGTCCCAGCTACTCAGGAGGCTGAGGTAGGAGAATGGTGTGAACCCGGGAGGCGGAGGTTGTAGTGAGCTGAGATCGGGTCACTGCACTCCAGCCTGGGCGACAGCCAGACTCCGTCTCAAAAACAAACAAATAAATAAATAAATAAAAGACAAATTGACATATTTTCTGTCTTTGTGGTTCTACTATAAAAAGTGAATCACTGAGAAGTAAAATTCTAAAGAATAATTTTTTTTTTTTGAGACAGGGTCTTGCTCTGTTCCCAGGCTGGAGTGCAGTGGTGCAATCATAGCTCACTGCAGCCTCAACCTCCCAGACTCAAGCAATTCTCCCACCTCAGCCTCTCAAGTGGCTGAGACAATAGGTACACACCATCATGTCGGTCTAATTTTTGTATTTTTTGTAGCGATGGGGTCTCACTTTGTTGCCCAGGCTGGTCTCAAACTCCTGGGCCCAAACAATCCTCCTGCCTCAGTCTCCCAAAGTGCTTGGATTACAAGCATAAGCCGCCACGCCCAGCCCCACTCAAATGTTTAAAGATACAACTGGCCACATGTTTTGGTCAGAAAATAAGGATGCATAATTTCTTTTTCATTCAAATCAAAGTGAATTTGCCCATCGACATCACTTGTACATACAAGCCCCAGGGCCAGCATGAGGATGTGGCTGGTTTCCTGGGCCCCTGCTGGATGGCGTGGAGGTCCAGGTCTCACTGGCTAGGTCTGGTGCCACCCATGACCTTGCAGACTCTGGCTGCCGTGCTGCCCACTCAGGATGGCCTCCAACCCACGGCACCGCCAGGCTGCACTACGCATGCACCAGAGGTGGCTGGGATGCTACACACCTTCAGGGGCCAGGTTTCCTTCCATTTCAAACCACAACATTTTGTTTTGATTCAGGGTCAACCCTCTGGACCGAATGCTCTGACCTGACAGATGGCGCAAGAGCCACACGAGGCCTCGGACACAGGACTCGCACTCGCGGGCGCAGCTGTGCGGCTAGTGCGTGAAAACAGCAGGCTCTGAACGCCTCTGGATGACAGTCGGTGGAGGAGAAACAACTGCTGCCCACAGACACGGCAGCTGCAGAACTAGGCTCCCAGCACCGCTGGCGAAGGCCACATGGAGCTGCAGGGGCCACCCATACTGCAGAGACCATGGAAACCGAGGCCCGTGGGGCCAGTGCTGGCCTGGACTGCGCCGCCCGTCCGCCTCACGCCCCCGTCCCCTGGTACCAGCCCCGGGGCTCCGTCCCAGCTCCTGCTACCATCACGCTGGTTTGATGGTCACCTCCATCTGAGGTTAAACACAAAACAGTTGTCCAAAACATAAAGGTCAAGCCTTCAAGTTCTAAATCAGGCTCCAAAGCGCAGAGGCCTTTCAAACTGTGTGCGAAGCCCTTCAGTCAGTCTGGGGAGTGCAGGGGCCCCAGCTGACAGCTGGAGGGCCTCCAGCATCTGAAGTGGGTTAACTCAGCTACCAGAAGCCGGTGAGACCCTGGAAGGTCAGGGAAGCCTCCTATGAGCTGACCTGACGTCACTCAGCAAACGTCCAGGCCCTGTCTCAGCCACATCTGTACCTACCCCTTGCCAAAGCCTCTGGCTTTTGCCAAACTGAAACACTGGTTTACTCTCATGAAAGCGCAAGCTCCCTCCACCGTGTGGGTGGGGCTCACGTGGTCCCCTCACAGCCAAGGCGGCCCTGGCCGCTGGGCCACTCTGCAGCAGGGCCAGGCAGCAGTCAAGGGTGGGGAGGGCTCCCCATGGCTCTGGCAGTGCCTGGAGCACAGCACAGTGTGTGTTGAAACAGGCAGCAAAGCAGAGCCAAGCACCTCCCGCCTGCCAAAGGGAGGAACGGGCCAGCCAAGCCAAGCAACAGAGGCCTACAGGGCGCAGGAATGTCCACGGCAGGGGCAGGGACAGAGATGGCCACAGCAAGCTCCGTGCACGTGTCAGGCGAGGAGGCCAGTGTGAGAAGAACTGACACCCTAGACCCCTTGTTGCCTCTGGTGAGCCCCCTCCCAACCCTGCAGAAGAGAGGTTCATTAGGAAAGTACGGACTGGAGCATTCTAGACAGGGGAGCTGGCCGACGGCACATGAGAAAACGGGCTGAGTGAGTCCTGCTCAGACATCTTGCTTGGGCTGTGAGGGGTGCACAGCCTTACAAAGCCGGGAAGCTGGAGGCCAAAGATCCTCCCTGTCTCCCCAGCCCTCCACACAGAGGCAGGAGGAGGGGACTCTCCGCCCCGACCGTGCAGCCACTGATGGTGTCGGCTCCTCACCCCAAGGGGGATGGGGCAGCCGGTGCCCGTCAGGAGGTGTGGAGTGAGTGCCCAGCAGTATGTCCCCTGCCCAGCACTCGCTTCCACCACCTCACTCACCACCTCTGACCACCCTGGGCGTGGCTCCTGGAGAGAAGGTCTGAGAAAATGAGCAAGAAAAATCAGCAGCTGCAAATTCCAGATTTTCAGTCTGTGCTGTCTCAAACATTCCGTGTTCTTGATGGTCCCTGCTATAGTTTGAACGTGTCCCTCCAAATCTCTACCATGGTGTTGGGAGGTGATCAGGTCCTGCAGGCCTACACAGGACACGAGTGCCTCATAAAGGGCTGGAGGGAACCAGCCTCAGTCCTCCGCATCCTCCACCTCCTCCGCCAGGTGAGGACACAGCCACAAGGGGCCATTTTGGAAGCAGAGGCCAGGCTCTCACCAGATGCCAGACATGCTGGGGCCTGGCTCTTGGGCTCCCAGCCTCCAGAACTCGGAGAAATACATTTCTCCTATTTATAAGTGACCTCATCAGTGGTATTTTGTTACAGCAGCACAAATGAACTAAGTCAGTCCCTTTCTTAGTACCAGGAGCTGCTCTAAGCTTTTGGTTTTTCAGTTTTCATCCAGGAGGCACAAAAAAAACAGCTCAGCAGGTGCAGGAGAGGCCCCCATGGAGGACAAGCCTCGTGCCCTTGTGACTGAGGCTGTGGAAGGCACCGTCTGCTCACTAAACCCAAGACCTCCAAAAACGCAGCGGGCCTGAAGGTATAAACACGGCCACACGCACCTCCAGCTTGTCCTTAGGTTCTAGCCTGCGAGGTAACTGCTGGCCCCGAAGCTGCCTGCCTGTCTGAAGAACTCCTCAGGCTCCAGGTGACCCGGCTGCAGGGCCACACAGGGAGCTCTTTCTTTCTCTGCAGCAGCCTCGGTCTCTCTAGAAGCGGCTGAGCGCCTTCGCTACATGGCAAAAGCTTTGCAAAGCCCTAAAAGCACACGCTTTTACAGAAACCAGCAGCTGCTCCCACATTCTGCTGGAACGATAACTGATGTACATATTGTCAGTCATCATATTTTAATTTCAGCTTTGAAACATAGCTTTGCCAATAAAAACAGAAAACGTAGCTTCTCCAGTAAAAGCCAGGCGTGGTGGCTCACACCTGTAATCCCAGCACTTTGGGAGGCCGAGGTGGGTGGATCACCTGAGGTCTGGAGTTCGAGACCAGCCTGGCCAACATGGTGAAACCCTATCCCTACTAAAAATACAAGAAATTAGCCAGGCATGGTGGCAGGCGCCTGTAATCCCAGCTACTCGGAAGGCTGAGGCAGGAGAATCGCTTGAACCTGGGAGGCAGAGGTTGCAGTGAGCCGAGATGGCGCCATTGCACTCCAGTCTGGGTGAGAGAGCGAGACTCCATCTCGGGGGAAAAAAAAGCAGAAAATTCTAAATGTTTTCTGTGAAAACACGCACTGTCTCCAAGGGAAAGGCAGGGAAGGCAGTGCCCCTGCACCCTGCTCAGGAAGAGAGCAGCCCTCTGACACCTGGGGAAGCTGGTGTGAGCCTAGACTCAGAGCAGACGGCAGGGGGTAGCGGGGGGTTGAGGATGACCGCCAGACCGTCCCAGCAGTGCACGCAGACTGCACAACACACGCCAGGGACGCCGGACCAGAGATGGGCTGCACATACCCAGTCCACCAGGTGCAAGCACAGCACAACCGGGGTGCAGGTGTGAGTGAGCACGAGCGTGCAGGGGTGCGCATGAGTGGGGGTGCGCACCTGAGTGTGCACATAAGCATGGGGGTGAGTGTGCATGGTGTGTGTGGGTGTGCCACCCAGAGTCAGGACTAATTGTCCGGTAACACACAATTATAAAAGTTGTAGAGAAAAATCAGAGCATTTCTTTTTGGCCCTGAGGTAGATAGGAGCTTGACACAAACAGGAAGTGGCAAAGCCTGGGCCTGGTGGCGCACGCCTGTAATCCCAGCACTTTGGGAGGTGAGGCAGGAGGATGGCTTGAGCCCAGGACTTTGAGACTAACTTGGACAACGCAGTAAGGCTCTGTCTCTAAAAACTTAAGAATATTAGCTGGGCACAGGAGTGTGCACCTGTGGTCCCAGCTACTCAGGAGGCTGAGGTGGGAGGATCGCCTGGGCCCAGGAGATGGAGCCTGCAGTGAGCTGTGGTTATGCTACTCCACTCCAGCCAGAGCAACAGAGAGAAAGAGACCCTGTCTCCAAAACAACAAAACCAAACCAAGAACTGACAGGTAACCCAGGCTGGGAGCCACCTGTTCACCAAAGGTACCACCTGTTCAGGTGGTATGACACAGGCAGGGGCAGGTGGGTGTGGGTGAAGACTGGTTGGCTGACAGGCAGGGGGTGCAACATGGCAGATGTGGGACAAGGAGAAAGGTGGGAGCCAGTTTTTGGATGGGATGAGCAAAGAGCTGGAAAGAGGGAGAGCAGGCAGCACTGGCCCCTCGGGAGTCTTGGTGCCGTCCTCCGCAGCCGCGGTCAGCAGGGCTCTGGGTTTGCAGACGTGGCCCCTGAAGACACTGCCTGTCTCCTCAGGGGCTTTGCTGACATTTGATGAGGCCTCTCCCCATAAACCTTCTTTTTACCAGAAAGTGATGACTACCGTCACACTGACGACACTGGTGAGCAAGCAGACCGAAGCGGCTGAATTTAAGGCAGCGCACACTCCAGGGCAGGCAGGTATCACCTGGCCCCCACAAGAAGCAAATAAACAAAAAGCTTTTGTTTCACATGGGGTTGAGTCCCAGGAGCAGAATGGGGTGTGCAGCACCCACATTACTGTTCTGGCTCATTAACAAAGTCACTGAAGAAAACGGGGCAAGCCGGGTGCGGTGGCTCACACCTGTAATCCCAGCACTTTGGGAGGCCAAGGCAGGCAGATTACCTGAGGCCAAGAGTTCGAGATCAGCCTGGCCAATATGGTGAAACCCCATCTCTACTAAAAATACAAAAATTAGCCAGGTGTGGTGGTGGGCGCCTATAATCCCAGCCACTTGGGGAGCTGACGCAGGAGAATCTCTGGAACCTGGGAGACAAAGGTTGCACTGAGCTGAGATCATGCCACTGCCCTCCAGCCTGGGCAACAAGAGCAAAACTGAAAGGGAAAGGGAAGGGGAAAGGGAAGGGGAAGAGGAAGGGGAAGGGGAAGGGGAAGAGGAAGGGCAAAGGGAAGGGGAGGGAAGGAAAGAAAAGGAAAGAGAAAGAAAGGAGGAAACAAGGAAAGAAAGAAAGCTCTGCACCTGCGTATCCTCTCTGTAAGCCCCTACCTGTCTGTGGCCAACCAAACTCCAGCACAAGGAGGGTGGGGGCACCAGAACCAGCACCAGCGCCAACACCATTCCACAAGCACCGTTCCTGACCGGCACTCCTTATGGAGAAGAGAGGTTTTGAAATCACTCCCTTCAAAAAGTGGAGCCCGATCTTCCTCCCACTGAGTAAGGGCTAGACAGAGTCAAGAAGCAGACAAAACCTCAGCTGGTGAGGACCAGGTCACACAGGGCTCTTTGGGGCCCACTCACGCTCACTGGGGTCACTCGCTATGGGAAACCAAGTGGCCATATCGTGAACACACTCAGGCTGCCCCTCAGAGAGGCCCATGTGACAAAGCAATGAGGCCTCCTGCCAAAAGCCACGTGGGTGAACCTAGAAGCAGGTCCTGCAGCCTTGGTCGAGCCTCCAGGCAACCACAGCCTCCTG